CCAGCTACTTGGGAGGTTGAGGCAGGAAAATCGCTTGAAGCCGGGAGGGGGAGGTTGCAGTGAGCTGAGATTGCGCCATTGCACTCCAGCCTGGGAGACAAGAGTGAGATGAGACTCTGTCTCAAAAAAATCAATCAATAAATAAATACATTTTCCCAGTAAACAGACCCTTTTATCATTATGTAATCTTGCTCTTTATCCCTGATTGTATTCCTTGTTCTGAAGTCTACTTCATCTGATAATAATATAGTCATTTCTGCTTTTTTGTTAATGTTTGCATGGTGTATCTTTTCCACACCATTTATCTATGCCTTTATATTTAAAGTATGTTTATAGTTGGATACTGCTTTTTCATTCAATCATAGAATCTCTGTCTTTTAACTGGTATATTTAGATCATTGACATTTGATATTTTTAAATATATAGTTAGATTAAAATCTATCCACCTTGTTAACTCTATCCTTTGTTCTATCTGTTCTTTGGTTTTTGTTCTGTTTTTGCCTTCTATGGTCTAAATGACCATTTTTAATAATTCTATTTTATATTATTGTTTACATCTAATTAAACATTTTCAGTTGTTACTTTACATCTTTAATTGGAATATACATTCAAATAATATACAACTTAACATGTTAAGATCTTATATATTCCCATTTTCTCTGACATCCATTATGCTTGTCATATTTTACTTTTATATGCTGTTTACCTGGTACATTTTTACTCTAAGACAGCCAGTTACTTTTTTAGATAAGTTTTAAAAGTTATTACATTCATGTATTCCATTTCCGCATCTCTTCATTTCTTTGTGTATCTCCAAGTGTCTGTTGTGTTTCACCGTCCTACTGTTTGAAGAACTTTTCTTGTAGAGTAGGTCTTAATGTATTATTCTCTCAGTTTTGTTTCTCTGAGAGCATTTATCAATTTGAAAGATTTTCATGAACATTTCGTGAAGACAGTTTTTTTCTTTAGCTCTTAAAAGATGCCATTACATTGTCCTCTGGCCTGCAATACTTCTGATAAGTCTGCTGTAAGTTTCTTAACTTTGTTCCTCTATATGTAATTTTTTCCCCTCTCTGGCTTGCTTCAAGATTATTTCCAGTAGTTTGAACATAATATGGCTGAGGTGGGGTGTGTGTGTGTGTGTGTGTGTGTGTGTGTGTGATTTTAATATTTATCTTTCTTGAGGTTCTCCGGGCTTCATAGATTTGTGTTCTGGATTCATAAATTTTGGAAACATACTGGCCAATATGTCTTCAAATATTTCTTCTGTCCCACTTATTACATATCTTCTGGGATTCCAATTATGTGTATGTGTTGGACCAATGGATATTTTCTCAGAGCTCTTGGATTCTCTGTTCCTTCTTGTCCTACCCCACCCGACTTATGTTTTAGTTTAACTTTTATTGTCCAAACGTCAAATTCATTTACCTTTTGCTTGACTATGTCAAGAATATTGATGAGCCCATAGAAGACATTGTTCTTCTGCTTTTTTCATTCCCAGTATTTCCATTTTATTCTTATAGTTTTGGTGTCTCTGCTCAAATTACTCATCTAATCTTGCCTGTTGTGCACTTTTCCATTACAACTCTTAAGATACTACTCATAGTTCCTTTGAGTTCCATGTCAGTCCAACAGCTATGTATTTCTGAGTCTAGTTCTGATGAATGTTTTGTTTCTTGGTGGGGTAAGGTGTTGATTTTTGCATTTTTGTATGCCTCATAGTTTTTGTTTGTTTGTTTTTTCCTGAAAGCCAAGTATCTTCTGTAGAACAACAGATATGAAGGTAAATAAATTTAATTCCTGGAAAGGGGATGTTTTTCTATGTAGCCTTTAGCGTGTGGGAGATGGGTGGGTAAGATTTTTATTATTATAGCTAGGAATTGAGGAAGGCTTATGGTTTGTTGTTGCTGTATTATCGTAAGTTCACCAAAGGTTTCAGATATGAATAGTGATTCCTTATCTTTAGGGTCAGAACTGATTTTCCCAAGGATCTATCTCAATGTCAGGGTGACCTTAAGGTTTAGGTCCCATTGGATTATGCTTCAGAAACCCCATCTATACTATTTTCATTCATTCAAATATTTATTGAGTGCTTACCATTGAACTATGTGTCATTGTCCTAAATGTTGGAGCTTGTAACTCCCCAAATACTCTATTACTATTTGCTATTATTTTATGCATCTGTAATTTTCTCTTTGCCTTCAGTAGCTTTCCAACTTTTGTGTGCCTAGTAAATTCATGTTCTTCCTTTAATGCTATCTGCAAAAACAATCCCTGTCCCCATACCTCCATCACCATGAAGTTTATCATCCTCTTCTCTGTACTACCTATGCACCTTATACAGAATTCCATATTACCTGAATTCCCTGGTAAACTGTAAGTGTCTGTTGCAAGGACAGTGTCTTATTCGTTTACATATCCCCAGGATTTAGCAGTGATTGGTCCAGGGTATCTACATGCACAACAAATATGCAGCTAAAATGTTTGCTAATGAAAACTGGAAATCTATAGGTGTCTATTAAAAGCAAAATACTGTAATAATGGACTCTCCTACAACAGTCTAGGAATAAAGCAAAACATTTTTCTTGCCAGTTTTTTCAGGACTTTAAAAAGAACACAAAGTTGATTTCCTTCTTAGTTTGGATATATTTTTAAAATTCATGTAATGCAAAATAATTTAAATAATAAATGATTCAGCCTATTGGGATGTAACTGAGTTCCAAGCATTTGGAGGACACATAAACCCAAAGTTATCTTACCTTTATGGCACTTTCACTAATGCCTTTAAGAGTTTAAGAAAAGGAGAGAATAGACAAAACTAGATGAAATGAGGATTTTTGACTAGGCCAGAAATAAATCAGTGAAGATATGCAATTCTCACAAGTAATTCCAAGTTAACTTTATCATGTATTGCCATTCTAATGCTCTCTTGAAATCCCCAGGAGGAACAAGAAATGCAATAGGCGATGAGATAAGCCTGAGGAAATTAGGTTACCGTGGGCAGGGCATCCTCTTGCTTCTCCCCAGTCTTCAGGTGTGTCACAATTCATTCGGGACTGACGTGTATTTGTATGGCAGATTGGCAGAGGAATTAACAAGCTAGAGGGTGTGTGTAGAAAAGAGGGGGGAAAAAAGGACATGCCTCTGCATAAGTAACCTCTGTGCTGTTTGCTCACCCATTTGCTCCAAGGAGTGGATTTTTATACTTGCTTTACAAATATGAAAGAACAAGTTTAACTGGGAAGTTAGTTGTACTATCCTGTATGCATGCTCACCCCTCACAATTTGGATTGTTGTTTTATCAATTGTGGTCAAAGTTAGGATGACCTAACCCATGTACATTCCACAAAGTCATCTTAAACTTTAGGTATTCTCAAAAATAGCTTTTACAGAAGGAAAACTTACACAGAAGAGCCCAACTGTATATGATCCGATTGCAAAAAAGTTCTCTGATTTTATTTCTTATATATTTGGCACAAACAGCAGAGACTGAAAGTTACTACACATGTTGAACTGCTGACAGGAAAAGAACCCAGTATATAAATCTAGGGTTTCCGCTCCATATATTTGTTTGGGCTGCCATTACAAAACATCATAGACTGGGTGGCTTAAACAACAATTTACTGCTCACAGTTCTGAAGCCTGGAAGTCTGAGAACAGGTGGCCAGCATGGTTAGGTTCTGGTGAGGGCTCTCTTCCTGTTTTGTAGACAGCTGGCTTCTTGCTGCATCCTCACATAGTGCAGAGAGGAAGCAGGCTTTCTGATATCTTTTTTGTTTGTTCGTTTTTGAGACACAGTCTCGCTCTGTCACCCAGGCTGGAGTGCAGTGGCGTGATCTTGGCTCACTGCAACTTCTGCCTCCTGGGTTCAAGCGATTCTTCTCCCTCCACCTCCCGAGTAGCTGGGACTACAGGCAAATGCCACCATGCCCGGCTGATTTTTGTATTTTTAGTAGAGAAGGGGTTTCACCATATTGGCCAGGCTGGTCTCGAAATCCTGACCTCGTGATCCGCCCACCTTGGCCTCCCAAAGTGCTGGGATTACGGGCATGAGCCACTGCGCCCAGCCCAATGTCTCTTCTTATAAAGGCACTAATCCCATCATGAGGGCTCCACCCTCATGACCTCATCTAATTCTAATTGCCTCCCAAATGCCTCATTTCCAAGTAACATCACATTGATGGTGAAGATTTTAACATAATGAATTTTGAGGGGGGGGAAACACAAACATTCAGTCCATAACAACTCATATTTCATCACTTATTGCATACCAGTATTGTTACATGAAAATACCAATGTTTATTCATATAAATATAGATGATTTATTTCCAAATAAAACAATACTGATTTCTCCTGGCTTTGAAATCCTCATTCTTCACTGTATCTTGGTTCTTTTACTGATAGCTTGTCTCAGCCACGTTAGATGTTCACACCATGAAGATCATATATTCTCATATCCATGGAGATGGTACAATAAGGTTTCTACTGTTACACACCATTATGAGTGAATGATGCCTTTATCTACCTAAAGACTCACTTTTCTTTATTCTCACCCACAAGTTTGTCAGTTGAAAGTGGCACCCTGTTTTGCCAAGAAGTTCCTGATATTTGATAGTTCTAGATCTGAGAAACAGACTCAAATTCTTTCTTCTGTGACCTTAAACCAGGCTCAGAGCCCCATAATGGACTTCAGAATTATACTTTGTTGTATGTGACCAATGAATTATCTTTAAAACTATGCTGGAAGTAAAATATCAATCTTTTTTTTTTGACACAGAATCTTGCTGTGTTGCCCAGTCTGGAGTGCAGTAGCACAATCTCTGCTCACTGCAACCTCCACCTACTGGGTTCAAGTGATTCTCCTGCCTCAGCCTCTCCAGTAGCTGAGATTACAGGTGCTCACCACCATGCCCAGCTAATTTTGTATTTTTCAGTAGAGATGGGATTTCACCATGTTGGCCAGACTGGTCTCAAACTCTTGACCTCATGATCCGCCCGTCTCAGGCTCCCAAAGTGCTGGGGTTCCAGGTGTGAGCCACTGTGCCCAGCCAGTCATTCTTATCAAATAAAAAATGATCTTCATTTCCTGCCCAGCCAGTCATTCTTATCAAATAAAAAATGATCTTCATTTCCAATGGCTGACCAAACTTCTGAGTTTCCTTCAGTTAATTTCAAATCCTGAGGTCAAAATCATCAATGACTTTTGCTCTTTGGCTTTCAAAGTGGGACATATCATCAAATGGTCCCATATACACAAAATTTACATTATAGACAAATATTTGCCATATCTTTGATAGCCTCATTCGTTGATTTTATAGATTTAAAACCACCTTAGGCTTTTTCTTCAGAATGTGTATTCTGATGTCGAATCAGGGATGAGCTCCGACTATATGCCTTCCCACATTTACTACATTCATAGGGTTTCTCTGAAGAATGACTTCTCTGATGTCGAATAAGGTCAGAGCCACTGCTAAAGGCCTTTCCACATTCATTACATTCATAGGGTTTCTCCCCAGTATGACTTCTTTCATGTAGAATAAGAGATGTGCGCTGACTAAAGGCCTTACCACATGTTTTGCATGTATATGGCTTCTCTCCAGTGTGAATTCTTTCATGTTGGGCAAGGTGTGCGCTCTGGCTGAAGGCCTTCCCACACTGATCACATTCGTAGGGTCTATCTTCAGTATGAATTCTCTTATGTCGCGTGAGAGAGATTCGGTGGCTGAAGGCTTTTCCACATTCCTCGCACTGGTAGGGTTTTTCTCCAGTATGAATTCTTTGATGTTCAATAAGAAATGATTGGCGGCCGAAAACTTTACTACATTTATTGCATTTGAAAGGTTTCTCTTCAGAATGAATGTTCTGATGTATTTTAAGGTTTGCAGTTCCAGAAAACATCTTCCCACATTCCTTACACTCAAATAGTTTCTTTTTCTTTGTATGAACTTTCTGATGTTGAATAAGGGATGAATGCCGATTGCAGACCTTCTCACATTTATTGCATCTGTATAGATTTTCTCCATTATGAATTCTTAGATGCAGAATAAGGGTTGAAAGCCGCCTGAAGAGCTTGTCACATTTATCACATTTGTATGGTTTCTCTGAAGTGTGAATTCTCTGGTGAAGCATCAGGGGTGAAATCCTATTAAAGAATTTCCCACATTTTCTGCATTTATAAGGATTCTCTAAATGGTGATTTCTTTGCTGTAGACTCTGACTTAAGGCCTTCACATTTTCAGGGATTTTCTCTCCAGCATGAATTCTTTTATTTATAACAAGGGCTGATTTCTTTTTGAAGCCTCTCCCACATTTATTATATTTATGTGTTTTCTTTCCATTGTGAATTCTTTTATGAAGTAAAAGGGATGACATCTGACTGAAGGCTTTCCCACACTTTTTGCACTGGCAGACATTCCCAACAACGTGAATTTTCTGATGTATATTGAAAGACTGACATTGACTCAAGGCCTTCTCACAGTCAAGAATTTCCTTTCCATCATGAATTCTCCTATGTAGAATAAGGGTTGTTCTTTGATTGAAGCTTTCCCCACATTTATCACATTCATGGCTTTTCTTTCCACTGTGAATTCTCTGATGAAGTACGAGGGATGAGATCTGTCTGAAAGCTTTTCTACAATTACTGCATTCAAAAGGCTTCTCTCCAGTATGAATGTTCTGATGAAGTTTAAGAGAGAAGCTTCGACTAAAGGTTTTACCACAGTCATTACATTTTAAAGGTTTCTTCCCGGAATGCCCTTTCTTAGCCTTTATTAGGACTGAATTTTTGTTGCAGCCACTCTTTCGTGTAGGAGCTTTTGGTTGTGCAGAAACTAGTTTCTGGCAGATGCTTTGCCCAGATTTGCTGCATTGATTTGGAGGTAACTTCTTGGTCTCACACTTAGACCCCGAGTCTGAAAGACATAAATGAATTAAATGTTTCTCCTTTCCTGTGCTGAAAAAATGAAGATTCTACAATATAAATGCAATTATCATTATTAATCATAACAATTTTGATTACCAAAACAATAACTTTTTAGTGTTTTATTATAGTTTTGATGACCATACTAAAGGCTTTACAGAGATATTTAATAACCAGAATTCAGAAGAGTCTGTAATTGGAAAATGAGTAAGTTAAGATTTTATTTATAGGATAACTTTTATGCCATATACTGCACATTGAACTCCACAGGTTGTTCACTGGATAAACATATGTTTATTGGAGAATGTGTCCAGAAAAGGCAAATCTACAGAAACAGAAGATAAGTGGTTGCCTGGGACTCAAGGTAGGAATGAGGATTAACTGTAAATGGGCATGAGGAATCTTACAGGGGTGATAAAAATGTTCTAAAACTGGATTTTGTTGATGGTTACACACTCTGTAAGTTTATCCAAAATCATTTAATTATATTCTAGATATAGTGACTTTTATGATGTTTACCTTAATAAAGTTGTAGATTTAAAAAAATGTATTCTTAAGATCAAATTGAAAAAGAACTAGTAACAATTAGAACTGAGTACAGTCACGTGTTGCTTAACAATGGGGATATGTTGTAAGACATGCATTGTTAGGCAATTTCATCAGTGTGCAAACATCTTATAGTAGATTTACATAAACCTAGATAGTATAGCCTATACACCAATGTTATATTGTATAGCCTGTTCCTAGGCTACAAACCTGTACGTGATGTTACTGTATTGAATCCTGTAGGCAATTTTAACACTATAATAAGTATTTGTGTATCTAAATATACATACATGTAGAAAAGGTACAGTACAGATACAGTTTTATGATCTTATAGAACCGTGGCCGTTTATGTAGTCTGTTGTTGACTGAAACATCATTATGCAGCATATGACTGTATGTAGATATTTACAAAGGTGAGGACTTTAACAAGAAGCAGGAAAAACTCAGAAAAATAGGTAAGAGATTAGGCTAAAAGAAGGAATCTATTATTTAGTAAAATAGACCAATATGGCTGGCACAGGGTGTCAAAGTCCAAGATGATATAAAATAACTACTTGTGTAGCAAACTGACTATAAACCTGAGTGAATGTGGAATGATAAACATAGGTTTAGAACTATGCTATCCAATGTAGTAGCCATTAGTCACCTGTAGCTACTGAGGAACTGAAATGTGGCTGGTTTTGAGGTATATTACGAGTATAAAACATATGCCAGATTGTGAAGATTTACTACAAAAAAGTGTAAAGTATCTCATTGTGAAAAGACTGGTTATATGACATAATATGTTGGATCTATTAGGTTAAATAAATATATTACTAAAATTAATTTTACCTGCTTGTGTTAGGAAGTTCTTATACTGCTATAAATAAATACTTGAGTGGGTAATTTATAAACAAAATAGGTTCCATTGGCTCATGTTCTGCAGGCTGTATAAGCATGGTGCTGGCACCTCCTTGGCTTCTGGGGAGGCCTCAGTGAGCTCTTACTCATGGTGAAAGTCCAAGGAGGAGACGGCACATCACATGGTGAAACAAGGATAAAGACAGAGTGTGGAGGTGGCGCCACATATTACAACAATCAGATTTTGTAAGAGCTCACTCCCTATTGCTAAGACATCACCAAGGGAATGGTGCTAAACCATTCATGAGAAATCCACCCCCATGATCCAGTCACCTCCCACCAGACCCCACCTCCAACACAGGGGATTAAATTTCAACATGAGATTTGGTGGCGACACAGATCCAAACCATATCACTGTTTTTAAATTTTTATTTGAATGTGGATACTAAAGATTTTGTCAGTACATATGTGGCTCACATTATATTTCTATTTCCTAGCTGTGCTTTAAACACAGACATTACTGAATTAACTGAGGTGTTTTTCATTTAACTACATAAGCTTGTGACTCACTTGTTAACTCTATTACCATAAGCATATTATCTTGAAAATATAATCACCTACCTCACAAGATTTTCATGAGAATTGGAAATAATGTGCAAAATTTCTGGCACACGCTGTGACCTCTAATCTGCCATTCCAGTATTCAAAAAGCTGAGAACCAAAGTCTTTCCTTTTTTCTTTTCCTTTTTGAATGTTTGGACGTTTGGAGTGAAACCCCGTCTGAAATGCAGTAAGACTGTTCATAGCCTCCATTTATTGCTCTTGGGAAGTCTAGTCTTCGTAGCTATCTCAGTGTGTTTGATTTGGGGGTGCTGCTCCAGCATCTGCTGGGTATGTTATGCCACACATAGTATATGACCTGTTTTCCTTTCTAAAATCTGCACAATTCTGAATTGTGAAACACATATTGCTCCAAGGGTTCTAGAGAAAGCTTTGTCAACCTGCAGTTGCTTAATAACTGGTAGTAGCTACCATTATAATTATTAATAGTAGAAGTTCCAGAAAACAACCAGACAAAATAAGGAATTAACACAGGAAGACAATGGAAATGTTTACAGTGAAGTTAGCAGCATCAGCAAAACAAGAAACCCAGGATTCCTCCTGTAGTCCTTCCCACCCCACATCCCATTAAGTCACATCAGTTAAGCTGCTTCTCCCTCTCACATTCTCCTAAAACTCTTAGCTTCCCTTCCTTTTCCTTGGTACCTTCCTTTGTTCCTTCTTGTGTGGAATACTAACATATCCTCTTAGCCCATCTCCCCATCTTCAATGTGGAAACCCTTAAACCACACCATACACCAAAATTAATCCCAGGCAAATTAGTTCAATATGAAGTACAAAATCACTACAAACTAAAATAATAGGAAATATACCCCAAATTCTAGAAACCAGATGAATTTCTAAGGAAATAAAAAAAAGAAAAATTACATTGTGAATGCCAACACTTTCAATCACACAAAAATGAAAAAAAACTTTCATATAACCAAACAAAAAAATAAGAGGTAAATGAAATAAGTCTTAGGAAAGAATGTGGAAATATTTGAAGTAAAATGTAATGTCATATGGTTAATGCATTTTCTATATGAAAGCTTACTATACAAGCAGAAAATAAAAAACAAAGTCACTGTTAGATAAAAGAAGAAGGATCATGAAAAAACAATTCACGAGAATAATTACAAACAGAAAACAAATGCTAGCAAATCTACAAGAAAGATTTATGGCCTATCCAGTACGGGTAAACTCATGTGGATATCCAGTCTATTCACAAGGGCTCAAGAAACAAACTGGTACTTCGGAGACTGAGGCAGGAGGACTGCTTGAGCCCAGGAGTTTAAGGCTGCAGTGAGCCATGACTTCTCCACTACACTCCAGCTTGGGTAACAGAAGACCCTGTCCCTATCTCCTTAAAACAAACAAACAAACGTGGCAACTCACACCTTTAATCCCAGCACTTTGGGAGGCAAAGGTGGGTGGATCACGAGGTTAGGAGTTCGAGACTAGCCTGACCAACATGATGAAACCCCATCTCTACTAAAAACACAAAAATTAGCTGGGTGTGGTGGTATGTGCCTGTCATCCCAGCTACTCAGGAAGCTGGGGCAGGAGAATTGCATGAACCCAGGAGGCGGAGGTTGCACTGAGCTGAGATCGCGCCACTGTACTGCAGCCTGGGCGACAGAGCAAGACTCCATCTCAAAAAACAAAACAAGAAAAAAGGAGAAAGTGGAGGAGCCAGATGGCCAGAGCCCTCCAGCGATTGTCCCCTCTGCAGTAACACCAAATTGAACAACTATCCACATAAGAAAACACCTTCATAGGAACCAAAAATTAGGTGAGCAATCAAAGTATCAGGTTTTAACATTGTATTCAAAGAAAGAGGCACTGAGGAGGGTAGAAAAGACAGTCATCATTTGCCTGCACCACCCCTCCCCCAATGCCTGGCAGTGCAGCATGGCAACAAGAGAGAATCTATGTGTTTGGAGGAGGAAGAATAGAGTGATGGTGGGACTTTGCATTGGAACTCAGCGCTGCCCTGTCACAGCAGAAAGCAACGTGGGGCAGAATTTGGCCAGCACCCCCAGAAGAAGCATTTAAATCAACTCTAGCCTGAGAATTGTCCACCACAGTGGTGGAAACTTGAGTTCCAGCAAGTACCCCCACTACAGACTAAAACACTCTGGTGTCCTAAGTAAATCTGAAAGGCAGTCTAGGCCACAAGGACTGCAATTCCTGGGCACGTCCTAGTGCTGTGCTTGGCTCAGAACCAGTGGACTTAGGGTACATGCTACCCAGTGACACACCAGCTGGAGTGGCCACAAGAGTGTTTGTATCAACTCTCTCCCAACTCCTGGCAGCACAGCTGGCAGCTCCAGCAGGAGAGGGAAGAGTAAAGAGGACATTGTCTTGCAACTTGGATATGAGCTCAACCACAGTAAAATAAAGTACCAAGCAGTGTCCTGAAGGCCTCATTCTAGGCCATAGCTCCTGGACAAGATTTCTAGACCTATCCTGGGCCAGAGGGGAACTCGCTGCCCTGAAGGGAAAAACAGGCCTGGAAGAATTTACCACCTGATGAATTAAGACCTCTTGGGCTTCAAATAAACATCTGTGGTAGCCAGGCAGTGGTAATCACAGCCCTTGGGCAAGAATGAGTACTATGCTGGCTTCAGGTCAGACCCAGCACAGTCCAGTGGTGGTGGCCATGGGAATGTTTCTATCACCCCTTCCCCAACTCTAGGCAGCTCAGCACAGACAGAGAGACTCCATTCATTCAGGGAAAGTAAGGGAGAAGAATGACTTGCTGGTAATCTAGGGAATTCTCCTGGATCTTACCAAAAACCACCAAGGCAGTACCTCTGTGAGTCTACAAGAGTCACAGAGTTACTGGCTATGGGGTGATCCCTAATGCAAACATGGCTGCAGTGAACAAAGACACACCCTAGCCCCTTTGAATACATGGCAAGTCTTCTCTGGAAGGACCAGTACAAACAAGCCCAGACTACAAAGATAAGAATAAATACCTAACTCATCAATGACCAGGTACTG